AATAAAGCAGCGCACTCGGGATTTCTATCAATATTGGCTATTGCCTAATCTTAGGAAAGTTACTCCCGAATGGGAGCATATGACAAGATGTTTCATCGAATCATTGAATTACTATTCCTTGCTGTACATGCCTTACAAAACGATGGCATTACTCGCTATGGATACGTTAGGTGTAAGCATGCCGCATTTGTATGCGTCGATGAGTTACGCGGAATGGATTGCTTATAAAAGCTGGAGGTCAGCAAATAATTTAATCTTGTAATTAACTTGTAATGCAGTTCTAGATCCTCAAATATTAAATATTGTCAATTTTATTTCAATTATGTATTATAACGCAAGTATATTACTTCATTATAGAATTATTATTCTTATTGTTTTAGATTTCTATTGCGCTACGTTTTAAAATTTTCAAGCTTCAGGGTAATTTTTAATAAAGTGGTACACAAGATATTCGATGAAGCGAAGAATATCAGCCCAGAAAAAGAAGCAGAATTTCAGAAAAAATCGGAAAAGCAGTTATCAAATTTTTCTACCGTGCACTATTAAAGTGCCGTTGTATATAAAGTTTGAAAATGTATAATTTAAACACGCTTTCAGTTAAGTGCTTTTTGACGAAGTGATTTGACAAAACGTACAATTAAATTGCATTAATATCTACTAACATCCGGGACAGATATATTACATTTATTTTTCTTTTAGTATTGTATATTGCAACTCTCAGTTAGAGTTTTCTCAGTTGTTTATTAAATTATATTTGTATGCAAAAAGCTTCTAACATAACTTTGCTCTATAGAATAACACTTTATTTATAATTATTTTATTTAAATTTGTTTATAATAACAGTTATTTCTAACAATTTGATTGTGACAAAGATATAACATTTTGCTTCATAAGAAAAATTTTCGTTTAAAATAAAAACTCGCATATTTAAACAACAAAAATATATTATGGTGTTTGAACTGAATTTATATCAATAATAATAAATTGTACGCAGATGGCTGAAATATATTACAATTTATTGATTTATATATAAAACTAAAAGTATATGCATTTTCATTTCTTTTCCAACTGTAACAATGTTATCTAACAGAATGTTATAATCATTTTTTACATATTTTATAAGTGCAAGTTATATAACAATAGCATTATAATGTAACTTACAAGAA